GGCAATGCCTTCTCTCTTGAACCCAGCTTCCCGATGCATAGACTGTGATAACGCCAGCATCTGAAACTGTGACCCTTAGCGTTATTATTTTGGGCGATGTGTTTACTCTTTCTGTACCGTAGCTGCTAAGAACTACACATGCCCTGAGAGTTTAGGGATCGATTCCAAGGGCTCTTTGGAAACCAGAAGATCCCAGTGGGGGCAGTGGGGGCAGGGGGAGCAGGGGGAGCAGGGGCGACAGGGGGGACAGGGGGGCGGGGGGCAGGGGACGTCGTAGCCCTGGGGGAGAGCGGGCACAAGGCCCCATTGTGGCCACAGTCATACTCCTGGGCTCCTTCCCTCCTGTGCCTCAGATCCACATTGCTTTAGGTTTGTCTTGGGGACAGGGTTCACTCTGTAGCCCAGGCTGACCGTGAGCTCTGGGCTAGCCTTCTGCCTCCCGAGAGCTTGGATTACAGGTGTGGGTCACAGCATCTGCCCTCCTCACAGTTCCTTTCAGGTCACCCGACGGGTCTGCAGGCGGGGGGGGTTGCACTTGGCTGGCCTGACTCACACTTCTGTAACCGGTCTCAGTGCCGCATGCGCAGGGGCGTGGCCACCACCAGCCTTGACCGAGCTCCAGTTTCGCCACTGGAGGGTGGTGCAGGCTGTGCTTGGTGGTGGTCACTTCTCCTCTCTGGTCACTTCTGCTCCCACCCGCCTTTGTGAGGGTGAGAAGAGACGCTTGCCGGGAAGGCCGTGGCAGCCAGCGAGCTCCCTGCGTTGCTGTATTGCCCGTCCCGAGGCCGCCTGCGAGGTGGCTTCTGCCGGCTGGGTGCCTAGACGCCCCAGGACTGGCTGAAAGGCCCGTGTGCTCGCTGTCCCTTCCGTCCCTGCTCACCTCAGTGTCAGGACGGCCCAGTGCTGTGGGCTCTGTCTAAGGAGCATAGTAATGGGGGGGGTTACCCTGCTTCCTGCTACTGTCCGCTCGCCCTGGACCTTAGGCACGCATCTGGGGGAGGGTAAGGGCTAACCCAGAGGGGCAACCGTCGGTGACTTATCCTCCTCCAGCTCTGCCCAGTCTGCACCAGCTCCTGGGGCCTCGTCTCCTGGCAACACTGCCGCAGACACGCCCACCGACTGCCGCGTTCCCTCCCCAGTCTTACACACTGGCTTCAAGGGGCACATGAACAAGAACCAACTTATTAAATCTAAGAGGTGAAGTAACTCAGCCTGATGTGCGTTACTGGGTGTGGCTTCCCTGCAGCCCTGCAGGTGGCTTTGTGTTTCCTGGGGAGGTCGTGCCCAGGCCCTCAGCTGCGGGCACAGCACATCTCGCTGTGAGCAGACGGACAGTCTGCAGACTCTCCTCACCTGCACCACGGAGAAGCCTGTTAACCTGAACTTGGAAAAGTGAGCAGAGATCATTCTAGAACATAATTTCTATAGAGTCCTCACTTGACGGTAGATGAGGCTCAGGGTCTGCAATAGCTTGGAAGTAAAGAAGATGGAAACTGTGCTTTCACAGTGTTGGGAACAGAAGGGGAGCTGTCTCTAGGGTGCCCATGGGATTGGGAATCTCATCTTTACACCGTGCACCAAATGCTGGTTCATATTTGATGCACAGGAACCCCCCCCCCCCACTGTTGGTGAGAGTGTGTGCTAACAGGGTGTTTTCTCCGAGCCACAGACCTCTGTAGATGGGGTAATGTGGCTGGCAGAGGCCTTCACTCTGCGGTGTTACTGGGGCCTCCTGACTGGCTGCCGTGTTGACGGAAGGACTTTGGCCAGGAGCAGCACTGGTCCACAGCTCAGGAAAGCCTCGGTCGCTGGTCCCTGGAGGATCAGGAGTTTCAGAGAGATGATGCTGCTTCAGCGGTGTGTGGTGGCTCCCTCCATCCTGGAATCCCAGCCTGGATGGCCAGAGGCTGAGGGCTGCTGTGACTTCCAGGCCAACACTGACTTCCTGGCCCGAGAATGAGACAGTGGATTTGGAAATAACAGAAGCAAGATTAGAAAGGCACATCCCATCAAGAGCATTAACGAATCAATAGACTTAGCTCCACCAAGATGGGCCTGTGAACAAGGAGTGGCCGTGCCACTCTGCAGAGAGGCCCCGAATCGAAGATTGATTGGCCCCATTTTCTTCCACAAGAACAACTTTGCTATGTGTCGTTAGTTACTTTATCAAGAATATCATGTTGTGTCATCTGGGCTCTTATTAATCACCCTTTTCTTCCACCATCGGATTGTGAGCATAATTGGGTAAAGTTGATGGCATGTAGCTACTCCATATTCATCATCGTAAGCTGGTGTCAGGGAAACGCTGGATTGTGGATATCCACCCCGGGCACGCTGCGTGTGCGCATGCGTGTGTGTGTGTGTGTGTGTGTGTGTGCACGCGCGCGTGTGCTTCTGAAATCAGTGTTAGACATTGGTACATGGAAAGTCAGGGGGCTCCATGCTGTGGGATGGGTGGGCCCAAAGGAAGTTTCCCCATCGCAGTCACACACACTGCTCTGTAAGCTCAGGAAGCCACATGTCTCCCCGGATGCTCCTGGTCTCTGATCCCAGGTAGTGGAAATCACAGACAGGGTGAGGCAGACCGACGACAGCCTCCCTGACCTTAAAGCCTTGACCAAGTGCAGTTAATTGGCCAGGGGTTGGTCACAGTCATGCCCAGTCAGGAGCGAGCAGGGAAATGCCTGTGTACTGTGGACCTGGGAGACAGTGTATTCACGTGACTCAGAACACAGAGCAGAACATGGAAACTGGTCATTAAAATGTGAAGGTGGCTTCCAGACGGGGCTTTTCTGAGTCTAGCCAAGCTGAGTGCGGGCAGTGTGAAAGGACAAGGTTAGCAGGGTTCAGAGAAGACTCCAGAAGGCTGAAGAGGGTGCTCTGTGTGACCTGAGAACAGTGGACTCCAAAGCTCCCTAGGAAAACTCAAAGCCACAAAGCTGGGCCAAAGTGTAGATGCCCAAGCGGAGGCGCTTGAGAGAAACAGATTAGGAAGTTCTGTTGGCAGAGTCTGTCCAAGCCCGTGGCTGTCCTTGCGGGCCTGCTGGAAACAGTCCCTAAGTGTCAGCACGGTAAGCGTTTGTGGGACAGAGCAGGCAGCCCTGATGCCGCTGGGCCACTGTCACTCACTGACTTCAGGCAGGCAGCAGTCGGCAGGAGCCCAGGGATACTGAAGGACCGGATGCGATGCGCGAGCGCTGTCTGCAGTGGCTCCCAGCCACTCGCTCACGTCTGCAGCTCTTTCCCACCGCCCCCCCCCCCTTCACTGTTTTGTGTTTGCTCTGCGTGAGCTGCCAGCTTAGGCGCTTCGTGCCATTTTTTATGCTATGGCTCTTCCCTCTGCGATGATGAGGTAAACTCCATCCCCCATCCCCCATCCCCCGTCCCCCGTCCCCCGTCTTTATTTCCCGATATAAGCCAAGGACCCTTAGGGTGCCCTGAACATTGGTTGCAAAAACTAAAATCATCCTAAATGCAACACGGATGGGATCCTGGGGTTGAAAAAGACATCAAGGGCACCTGGTAAAATTAACAAAGCCTTTACTTGTTATCTGTTTTGATGACATTGGTGGCTCAGGTAAGGGGCTCGTGTGGGGGCGGGGTGCAGGTGTGGCTGGCATAGCTGGGGGGCGGAGCTTGCTTACCTGAGACTGGAGGCTCCGTCCTTGGTCTTGCCCAACAGGAGGTTTGCCTCACTTGATTGATTAACCCTGGAAGCTGGAAGCTGCTTCTGCTTTTAGAGAGAAACACAATTCCACCTGTTTTACCTTCCCAGCGGTCCTCCTGCGGCTCACCTCCCGGCACGTCCTCAGTTTCCCCACTCCTTCTGACACGTGCTGTGACTCTACTGGCCTTGCTGCTGTCTCAGGTCCGGGTCTGTGAGGATGAGGGGAACCTGTTCTCCAGTCTCCCTCTGGCTCCCAGAGCACCACCCGGCACATGATAGACTCATTAACTCCTAAGTATGATTCATGCTTGGAAACAGAGCTGACTGTGTGTATGAGAGAGAGTGGGGAGGATGTGGGGGGGGCAGGGGCAGGGGCTGGGACTGTAGTCAGGAAACAGGAATCCCAGAAGCATTTGTGCTCAATGAGTGGGTGTGTGTGTGCGCGCGTGCGTGTGTGTATGCGTGTGAATCCAACCCCAGCGTGTCCATTCTCGCGCTTCACAACAATCCTGGACCGTCTCTTCCGTTGAGTTCTGTGAGCTGTAGTAACTTTAGCTGTAATTGATGGCTTCAGTTTTTAAGGAAGAAATGGAGGCTGGGTATGTTTGTGGTCCCTCCCTCTGGCCCTCAGAAGCAGCCTTTGGTGAAACTGGAAGACTAAAGAGAGCCTTGTCAGCTGGGCAATGGTGGCGCACACCTTTAATCTCTGCATTTGGGAGGCAGACACAGAGCTCTGTGAGTTCAAGAACAGCTTGGTCTACAGAATGAGTTCCAGGACAGCCAGGGCTACACAGAGAAACTCTGTCTTGAAAAACAAAAATGATGGCCTTACATCCCTGGGGTCTGGGTTATTCTGCTATGTGATGGTGCGTGCTGAGGAAGTCAAGTTCCCCCAGCAAGGATAGGGCCATCACATCCAACATGACTGCACACAGGACATGACTTAAGTGTCAGACCACGGAAACACTCATCTGATGAAATGTTTTTATGTCATGGGCTCAAGCTTGCTCCACACATAGTGTCCTAAGCTCCTTACATTTGATGTCTGGTGCCTCCAGTGCCACCCACCTGAAGCACGGAGGCTGAGTGCTCTCTGTGTCTCTCTGTCCCTCTCTGTCTCTGTCTCTCTCTCTGTCCCTCTCTGTCTCTGTCTCTCTTTGTCTCTTTCTGTCTCTCTGTCTCTGTCTCGGCCTCCTGGGATTTTGGGGGAAAGGGCCTAACCTCTGGATCTGCTATACAGACAGGGAACCCTTCAGTCTTTTGGAGGATGCTGGAGAGGGGTGGTTGGTTGTCCGAGGATGGGGTGATGGTATTTCTGTCTGATCTATTGCAGGAACATCAGGAGAACATTCTGGGTAACACCATGCAGAGTGTTATTGCGTTACTCAACAATCTGGTTGCTTACAAAGATTCTAACATGAAGCTGCTCTATGAGCAAGGTAAGTTGGGAATTGAACCTGGGCCCTCTGGAAGGGCAGCCAGTGCTTCAAACCACCCAGAGCTGTCGGTCAGGCCAGCCCCTGATTGGTAGTTACTGGACTTGTTCTCAAAGGCAAGTCTTAGACACTGACACAGATTATCAGTCTCTCTGCTTCTGTGTGGTGTCTATGCTCAAGGGTTTTCTTGTTTCTTCCCATCCTAGGAGAAATATGCATCACCTTCTAATAAGAAATAGCATGTTGTGGGGCTTGGGTATATAGCCCTGTCAGCTCCTTACCACAGCAGTACCTTACCCTGTCCATGGGCATAGCTTCCTCTGCTCAGCCTGTGCTATCTCCGGAGCGAGACAGCTCAGATAAAGTGGCGGGCAAAGGAGCCTACGGAGGAGAGAGAGGGTCTGAGCTTCAAATCCCATGAGGAAAGATTGATAAGTCAGAGCAGTGGGCTGTGACCTCTGACCTGGACTTTCCTGTCTGCGGGTGGTGAAGGTGACCCTGAACCCTGTGGTTCCTACTACAGCAAGAGTAGACACAAGCACATGGCGAGGCCACTGCCCTGCAGGGACAGAGGATGGGCAGGCTGTCAGTGTCGGGGACACAGAGGTCTGGAGCCTGAGGAACCATCTGACCCCAAAGACCCAAGCAGTACTGCCACTGCAAGTACTCTCGTAGCTAAGAACTTGAACTCCTGACCCTCCGGCTCCACACCCAAGGGCTATAATTTCAGGTGCACAGCTGCCGCTGGGCTTGAACGTTAATGTGTGACCCTGTGGCTTTCTTTTCCTCAAACATTTTCATTTTTAAACGAAACATTTACAGGGAGAATTATTATAAAACGAGGTTGGAGTGTTTGCTCATATTTGAAAAATATCAGCGTCATTAACATTTTGGAGCTGACTTTGGGCTCATCCCTGCGCTGTGGCATTTCTGTAATGGATCTGAGTGCAGAGCTGTGAGGGCAATGGGTTTACCTGACACAGCACAGTGCTGCCAAAGCAGAAAGCAAAACAAAAACTCAACACAGTACTTCCAAAGAGTCGCTGAAGGAGAGCCTTTGTCTTCAGTGGTTCACAGAAATCAAAACACTGGGGCTTTTTGTTTTTGTTTTGTCGGGTTTATAATAATCTGTATAAATCAGTATTTACTCAGGAGACCAGAGAATCACAGCAAGACTTGTTTGTACTGTAAGAATAAAGAACCCGCACATGTGACAACCTCCTTAGCCTCCTTTCAGAATCGCATTCAAAGCTGGGTGACACATGTCTGTGGTCCCAGCGCTTAGGAGGTGAAGGCAGGAACATCAGGAGTTCCAGCCCAGCCTCAGCTGCATAGTGAGTTCCAGAGCTACGTGAAACCCTGTTCCAAAAAACAAACTCACTAGACAGGTTGACAGACCTGTTACCAGGAGATAGAGTTAAGTGGCACTTGGGGGGCACAAACAGCCCTTGCCAGGTGGCTTTGGCTGGCCTCTTGCCTGAATTGTTTTATTTTTAGCTATGTACATGTCCATCTGTCTGTCTGTGTCGGTGTGTGCACATGAGTGCAGGTGCCTTCAGACGTCAGAGCCGCTGGCTCCCCTGGAGCTGGAGTTAAAGGTGATTACGAGCTGCCCGGCGTGGGTTCTGGGAACCGAATCAGGTTCTCCACAAGAGCGGACTGGGCTCTATCTAGAGCCACTGAGCTGTCTCCAGCCCCTGCTCAGTTCTGTAGTGAGTAACTGTTATCCAGTGTTTGACCCCGCAATGGTACCATAGCTACAGCTGGTGTATGTGTTTAACTGGCGATGGGTATAGCTACAGCTGGTGCGTGTGTTTAACTGGCAATGGGTGTAGCTACAGCTGGTGCGTGTGTTTAACTGGCAATGGGTGTAGCTACAGCTGGTGCGTGTGTTTAACTGGCGATGGCTGTAGCTACAGCAGGTGCGTGTGTTTAACTGGCGATGGCTGTAGCTACAGCAGGTGCGTGTGTTTAACTGGCGATGGCTGTAGCTACAGCAGGTGCGTGCACCTATTTAACCTGGCTATAGCAGGCAGCTGTAGTTGTTTTCCAACTGGTCTCCAGGGCTGGCCATGGTCGTTGCTTAGTGTTTAGCGAAATCTGAGAAAAATCCCTTAGTGATTTGAAACGTGTTCTCTGGAAGCTTCTAGAAGTCTTAGCTATGCAGATGTGCTGCAGGTTTGATCACCCAGATTGGGACAGTTACCTTAGGCCTGTTCAGGACCACTCTCTAAGGGAGAGCGCTGGTATCCATGAGGTCAGGAAACATTTGAGATGCTCACACATGCACCACAGAAGGCAGTGCGGCCTGGTGGGTGAAGTAGGTTTGAGTCTGGTGTCTGTGGCTTTACTGTCTGAGGTGCTCCGAGTCTCATTTCTCTAGAGATAAAGGTGCCACTCCCAAATGTTTGTTTTGAAAGTCAAATGATAATATATGTAAAATTTCCATGCATAATCACCAAAGTTAGCATACACAGTTAAGGGTTAGTGGTAAAAGCCAGTGAGCCTGTAAGCTTGACCTCTGACCACGTGGAAATCATGGGGAGGAGGGAGGCAAGCTGCAGCTGAGTAACTAGAGGAGACTGTGTCACCGAAGTTTTAACTAATTAGCCTTTACCAGCCCTCAAAGAACAGCCCATGCCCAGGAACCCCTGTTGCTGATAAGTGGAGGATGACTCATTTTCGGAATGAGTGACTGCAGGATTCTGAGCAAAAGGATGGTTCTGTCCCAAGGTGGTAACTGAAGTCAGTCAGTCTTCGTAGGGGAGATCCAGGACCATTTGTAAAAGCACCAATGGAGATGGAGATGAGGTCCAGGAGGGAGAACCATGGCTCCTTTCTCACTATTGGACTGGACTTCTGCACAGAGGACTCTGGCCTGATCACAGCTCATGGAGAAGATGATCCACATCTCTGGTGGATTAGCACAACAGATGCTGCAGTAGTGTCCACTTAACGGTAGTTTAGTCCGCACTCCTGAGCTGGGGTTGGCTTCCTACACTGTACCCAGTGCTTGATTTCATGGCCCAACGCTTTCCCGGGTCTTAGAATTCCTTGTGCTGGTCAATGGAAAAGTGGAGAAGGTATCCTTCTATTTCAGCAGAGGAATAACTGTCTATAAACTATGTATTTGAAGAGAAACTAATATCCACAATATATATAGAACACCTACAGCTCAATGATGGGGAAACACACAGCCTAATTCACAAATGAGTAGAAGATCTAAATAGATATTTCCTCCAAAGATTCACAAGTAATAAAACACTTATGAGCAACAGTCCAGCAGGCGAGTCCCTCCAGGGACTGAACGGACCAAGTAAAATGTCTGGAGTTACTTTTATTTTTTACGGATTAGGGTGTGTGTGTGTGTGTGTGTGTGTGTGTGTGTGTGTGTGTAATAATGGTTTCATTGTGACTTTTCTATATTATTTTTGTGTACATGTGGGTTCACTCACCGAAGTGCATAGGTCAGAGGGCAGCCCGAAGGAGCTGATGGGTTCTCTCCTTCTGCCGTGGAGGTCCTGGGGTTGACCCAGGTGGTCAGGCTTGGTGGCACGCACCTTTACCGGAGCCATTCTGCCGCCAGGCCACGTGGTTCACATCTGCCTGTCCCGTGGGGCAGGAAGTGTGGTCAGACTTGAGTGGCCCCGGAAGTCTGCCCCCCTGAGGTGTTTTGTGGTGTTTTTGTTGTTGTTGTCAGTGTTTTAGTTTTCCTTTGGTACATGTAAAGCGTCAGTTTCCCAGCCTGGTGAATACAAACATTCACAGTGTCTTCAGGTAGTATGACACACAGTCTGTATGTAGCTTAGGTACATGCATTGCACACACGTGTAGCTTAGGTGCTTCTTCCTGGACTTCTCGGACCCTCACAGAAGTGAGAAATCCCCAGGCAGCCACTTCACGTTCAGCACACCAGAGACCGGAGGGGGCTGGACCTGCACTGTGATCAGGGTGGGAGTCTGGCCTTTGACCTTGGAGCTCCGGGCTGCCGAGCTGCTGCGAGATGCAGATTCCTGCTCACACGCATGCACGTTTACTGAACAGCCCCGCTGCCTCGCCTCCCAGATGAAATGCAGGGGAGTTAATGTGAGGAAAGCAGGCTATTAAGATGTAAATTGTTTGTGTGTGAGCGTTCTCCTGATGTGCGGCGCCTGTGCGCTTTCATTCCCTTCTGTCAGGCGAGGCTGCCGCACTGGGGAGCTGAGGATGGAAATGTGGAAGCGAGCAGGCTAGGCGCATGCAGAAAAAGCGGCCAGCATCTGCGTCTTCCCGCCCAGCGCTGCTGGGCTCTCCTCCCGTGCCCCTTCCTTTATATCCTTGGAGGCAAAGCGATTCCCACAGCTCACTGCTGCAGGATTCGCCAAGCGGGACATTAAAGCAAAGATGCTTATTAATGGTATTAAAACAGCAATAAAACTTTATGTAGGCATTTAATAACTCCTCCACATACCATGAAACAAGGCTAAACCTCACCCTTCATGGGTGAAGTGTGCTCTCCATCTCGGGGTCCACTGATCTGACTTTTAGCTGAATGTCAGATCACTTAGACTCGAGATTTCTCCCTGTGTGTTTTAGTGTAAAAGCCCTCGGGATCCCCGAAACTTCAGAGGGGAGACCCCCAGAGAGCAAGCATCTAGAGGGACATAAATGAGTAGCCCACTTGCGGATGTGTAACCCCGGGGGCTGGCAGGCAGTGGGAGCACTTGTCCACCCGAGCACTGAACCATGAGCTGAATCTAGCTCCTTCTCTCCCCAGTGCATGCAGGCTGCTGTTCTCTGCAGCAGGAACACTTTCCCACAGCTGGGTGTGTCTGGATCTACGGTATCTCCTCCCTCCTTTCTCTGTGCTGTGCCTGGAAGACTCCCTGTCCTCTTGCAAAGGTCGCTCGCACTTGGGTTTTTTTTTCCTTTGCTGATTGAACAGGCATTTGCCTTTTCACGGTCTGTGTGCATTTAAATCTGCGTATTCGTGAGTGTGTGAATGCATGCGTGGAGGCCGGACG